GAATGCCTGTTGTATTATCACTCTTTTATGCATCTGAAGAGATGGGTTTATAGCCTGAAAAGCTCAGGTGAAAATCAAAACCAGGATCCATATATACTCGTATATAAGCTGGCCTCATGTATAAATCAAGGGCAGAGTTTGGGGGCCAAAATCATAAATTTTGTTATGAACTGTGGAAAAGCCAAGGATCTTTGGAAACTAGAAAGCACAATTTCCTTACTAGGCATCAAAAAAAATTCAGAAGTGAGAGAGCAGAAAGGGTTGGCAGTTCTTTTTGGTTCTCACATAACAGACGAAGCTCTCATATTTCACTACTCTGAGAATGGTACTATATATATATATATATATATATATAAGAGTTAAGGCACAGGAGTCACACTGACCCATAGATAACTTGTCCCAGGTTTTTTTTAATATTAATTTTTGTCTAAATGTGTAGGATTAAACATGAGTATATTAGGTAGTCTTAAAGGTTTTAGGACATTTTTTTGTCATTTCCCCTGCCCAACCTTGCTTCCTCCTGTTTGTATAGGAATCATTAAAGTCGCCCAGTTCGTTATCAGTTCGGAATCATTAAAGTCGTCGTCTGTTATCAGGTAGCAATCACTGCGATCAATGGAGGCCCAATGCTTATGTCAATCAAGAAACAGCTTGATGATGTTCCCATCCACCTCCATGCACAAGCAATCCTCGATGTGAATTGGAAATGGCAACAGAGACTCTGCTTTGCTTCTAGTACTTGGATCACTAATGAGCGGTGGTGGAACTGTTGCTTCTTAACTAACATGGGAACAGACTCCTGTCAGTTGCAGAAGCTGCTGCCCAGTAAGCAGAGACCGAGAAGGTGATGAGCCAGGAAATCATGTGTAACTATATAACTCTGGAGGTTATATATTTGTAAACTACACAAATGAATTCAGGCTAGCAACTCAAAAGAAATCGAGCCTGACCTAACACATTTTCCTATTTATGGAAAGGAAATATTTTATAGCAAAGGGCATCATGCCCAAACCCAGCCAGATTGTTCTGGTACTTGAGACAGGATATAAAAGCACTTCTCTGCATCACTGGCAATTAAAAGTGGGAGGAAAGAACACATGTGCCTCTATCATGACCTGCAAGCTTAGATCTATTGCCTGAGGCGGCTGCCTCACTTGCTTTAATTATTATAGTGCTGATAAAGACACAGAAACAGAGTCAGTAAAAACAATACAAACATCAAAATTGGCAATCTTAGAAGAAACTGGAAATTGTCATGTCACTCCACCAAAGTTGACTAAGTTACTTATTTGGATCACAACTCCACATATATTTTTTTAAAAGTTATGTGTATAATATCTCCTGGCCTGACCTTTCAAACCCACTAACAGCCAGGAGCAACATTAGGCAAAGGAGTTCAGTTGCCAAATAGGGCACAAGATAATGATGTTTCCACCTCATCCCACCAATTATATGGTTCCTGTTTCTCACTAGTAATGGGAAGGGCCTAAGAAACATCCTTACTGGAAGCTGCACAGATCCCCTTTGTTTGTTGCACCTGCTGTCTGTTAAGGTGCGCTGGAAGGCATTTATGTAGCCTCACAGTAAGACTATATGACCTTACTGAAAACGGAGTTGTTACAGATCCAGAACATTTAAGTCAAAGGTTGTGATTGGCATATTTTTACATCTTATTACATTCCATCCCATTCCCACAACTGTGTAAATATGTTTTTATATGAGTCATTTATTATCACTCTGATATGCATCTGAAGAAATGGGTTTATAGCCTCAAAAGCTCAGGTGAAAATAAAAACCAGGGACCGTGTGTACTCATATATAAGGCTACCTCATGTGTAACTCAAGGGAAGGGTTTGGGGCCAAAATCATGGATTTTGATAGGAACTGTCGATAAGCCAAAGGTCTTTGGAAACTGGAAAGAACCATTTCCCTTCGAGGCATCCAAAAAGATCAGAAGTGAGAAAGCAAAAAGAGTTGGTGGTTCTTTTTGGTCTTCCCTTAACAGGCTAAGCTTTCACCTTTTGCCACTCCACTCAGAACAGGTCATAAACCATAACTGTAATACAGAATGTCAGCCAACATCTTTAAACCTTGCCTTTTATAAGGACCTAAAGCAGTGGTTGCCAGACTTTGGTCCTCCAGGTGATTTGGATTTCAGCTTGCAAAAATGGAGAAAAGAAAGGAAATGACAAGGAGTCAACATGGATGGACTTGTTCACCGCCCTGAGTCGCCTTCAGGCTGATATGGGTGGGTAGAAATAGTGTAAATAAATAAATAAAAAGAAAGAAAGAAAGAAAGAAAGAAAGAAAGAAAGAAAGAAAGAAAGAAAGAAGAAAATAAAGTCCTTTCAGAGCTCAATCTGACAGGGAAAAGGGAAGGGAGGGAGCAGGTAGAAAGAGATGCTGGTAAATGAACTAATAGAAATGTTGAGACAAAATATAAATGGAAAGACTAACGGAAGAAATGCATCTTTTAGACTGCAATGATATTGTAGATTATCAATACATGTGGTAATTCATTAATTAATAATAAGCTAAATCTAATTGGGAAGAAAAGCGTACGCAACAGCTTCCATCTTAGAAGAAGAGGCATTCCCATTTCCAACCTCTGTGACATTTAAAGGGGAAGGACTCTTCTAAGATTTGGTCTGACATCATTAGCTTTTATAAATCCTTACTTTAACAATAATTAACTTTTTTTAAAAGTAGCTGGTAAATCAATGCTTAGTTTCAAAACTAATTAGCCTAATCGGTTGCTCTGTCTTGGAAAAATACATTTGTCTGTCCTTCTGTGACCTTTCATCCTCTGGCTTTGGCATGCCCAGTTGAAGACTTGTGTTGACCTCATCCCCTGTTTTGAAGGCTATTCAATGTGTGGCATGACTTGACAGCCTCTACTTTGATGTGCCACCATCTTAAATAATGAGTCTGTCTAAAACATTTCTACTTTAAAGGTGATACAGGGACTTGTGCTGGTCCACAAGCCATAGCTGATGGTCCTTGATGAGTTTCCATGAAAGAAAGGAAGAATTTTGAGTAAATGGGAACAAATAATATGGTACAGGTCCCTGGCACATTGGGAAAGAAGACTGTGCATCCCTCCTATGTCTTAAACCTACACCTGTTGGTAGAATCTGCAAGGTAGCTGGCATTGCCCCCCCCCCCCTCGATGTGGGATGGGAGGTTGCTGCCAATTGTTAGAGAGATAAGGTTGAACACTGTGAAAGCCACCCACTATATGGCTATCAGCCTCCTCCCAGTAGACTTAAATCAAGGAGAAATGTTATGAGAACCACCACTTCTCTAAATGTTCTTCCAGCAACAGCAAGTGCATTTCTCTGGGCAGCTAAACCATGTATTTCCAACTGGATGGCCCCCCACAAGGGTCTTCCTCCAGGGGCAAACCAAGAATGGGCAACTTGGAAGTCCCTGAACAGAAGTGGAGGGGGCAGATCAAAAGACAACCTGGCAAAATGGCACACCCTGGAAGAATCCTCCACCTTGTGCATCTGTTGAACAGAACAAACAACTCTGCATATGTATTCTTGGCCACAATGCCCTGCCTCATGCACAGAGGAAGAACTGTTTACAGCTGCAAACAATGCAGTCAAAGTTGCCCATTTTTGTACTAAATCTATTTAGCAGCTTGTGATCTTTTTATTTTGTCAGTTTTAAACTTATCTCGTCAGCCTTTGACACAAAATAAATAAATCTCTCACAACAGAACGTTTGGGAAGTGCTGGTCTAAATGGGTCTAAAGTCTCTGGTACTGGCTATCCAGGAAGTTATCCAGGAAGTTAAAACTAAAGTCTTTTTTGGGGTTGATGGAAGATCAGATGGACAAGAAAAATGGAAGAATTATTTAGTATGTGAATACAGCTGCTAGATTCCTTTATGTACAAAAATATAAGGACACAGCTATGTCATCACAAGAAGATAGGATGATGAAACTGTATGACCTTGTAGGAATGGACAAACCCACATTTTGAATAGAGAAAAATAATAAAAAATCATAATAAATATTGGGAACGAGGGAGTCGGGGTGCAGCTGATTTATATTTTGTGATTTTTCATAATTTTCTCCCAATTTTTTTAAAGTGCCTCTCCCAATTCAACATATAGGTGGGAGAAATTGAAGGGTTGAATTCAACACCAGCAGCATTCAAAACATTTATTTTGTCACTGTCAGCAGCAGGCGTTTGGCTAGATTTGGGGGCTTTTTCAATGCTGCAGACCCAATCAGAGCCACACAGACACCCCCCCCCCTCCCCAAATAAAAGCCCTGCGATTGCCAGAAGGCCAAACATGTTTTGATGTAGAACAGGACAAAAAAGGCAACCTTTCAAAAGGTTATACCTTGAGGCTTTGACGGGCATTTTTTTGCCAGGGAAAGGTTAGTGTGAGGACTCTGAAGTTGTCAAGGGTTGCCAAAAGATCTTGGAAACGAAACATGCACTTTGTTCATTCCTACTACAGGGATACTCAGAGTCCCAAAGACTTGTGGATGCAAATGTGACTTGGTGATGTGTGGATGCCACAGTGGTACCTGTTTAGGAAGATCTGGGAATAGAGAGCACATGTTGGGTGAGGTTCCTGGTCCTTTACCAGAATGCTGTGGCAAGAGTTGCTCCCTCCCTCCCTGTGCTTCTTCCTCCTCGGCATCTCTCTCCCGCCCCTCTTCCTCACTCTTATATTCCCCTGGGGTTACATCATCCTTTCCTGTCGGAAGGCATGAAAGCAGTTCTGGAATGATAATATTTAGACTTTGGTATCCTCGTGACCCCCACCGTTGGGGCAGCAGGCTTGCTATAGGCACCCCGTGACTCACTCACGCTCTGGGCCCAGTGTGTGTGTGTAAAAGAAAGGGAGGAGGGAAGGGGGAAGAGGAGGATGTGGGTAGAGTGAAAGCCAAGGGGAAGGGCATCAACCCCTGCCCTGAAGGGTGCTTGTGTATATATACCCCTGTGCTGGCTGGCTGGGAGCAAACCCGTGTGGACTGAGATAGCTCTAAGGGAACAGAAGGAAATTCTCCCTTTTTATTACATTTTAACTGATTGGATTTTGGGTCCTTAAAAAACTTTTCAGATATATATAAAACCTATCCTCAACCCCAATAGAAACTTCTTTCAACCATTCTTGGTGGACTGAAATTTCTTTTTGGGACTCAACAAGATTTCAAGTGATAAGTGAGTCTCAATACGTTGAATCGGCTGGGATCCAGAACTCTCCCATTCTTTTCTGGAGAAAAGAGTAGTGTCTAAGGAGCTACAAGGCTGAGAACTAGAACCTTACGTTCACCTCTTGGCATTTTTCAGGCACCTGGCATTTCTTTTGCCATTTGGCCTTACTTGTTTCTTGGGCCAGACCACCTTCAAGCAATGGTGGTCATTTCTGTCCATCTTGGGTGCAAAGACTACCTTCTCTTTCTCGTCAGCCTAGTTTTCTGGGCTGCCTTGCTCCGCACAGCTCCTGCTCTGCCCTTGCGGAATTCCAACCCCATCTACCAATTTGATGGGCAAGTCCGGCTTCGGCACCTCTACACAGCGGATGAGCAGACACACCTCCACTTGGAGATCTTGTCAGACGGCACAGTGGGTGGATCCAGGTTTCAGAACCCCTTCAGTGAGTATTTTGGGGAAACCCTTGGGATGTAGAAAAGATCTGAAATGGATAAATATTTATGTATGTATGTGTGTGTATATAAGGAGAAAGTGTGATGTAACGGGCTTGAATGTTGGGTTATGAGTCTGGAGACCATGGTTCAAATCTCTGCTTGGCATTGGAAACCCACTGGGTGACCTTGAGCAAGTTACCTACTCTCAGCTCCATAAAACACTATTGGGTCCATATACATCAGCAATGACTTGAAGACACATAACGGATGTGTTTGACTGGGCATCAAGATTTGTCTGTTTTTTGTTGCGGGGGGGGGGGGGGGGGGGGGAGAGAAAGTAGATAGACTAGAGAAAAATATGTGTGCTGTGCTGGAAGCTGGAACTTCAGCAGAGGCAGCATTTGACACTGTTGAGATTGGTCTGTGATTCCTGACATCCACTTCTGTACAAATGTGGGTGCTACAGAGAATGAGGCAGGCATGTTCAACCTAGTAAAGAGAAGACAGAACAGGAACATAGTTGCATACTTTAATTAGAGAAGATGGTGTGGGCCTATTCTCTGCTGCCTTGGAGGTTAGGGTGAGGTCTAATGGTTTGAAGTTACAGGAGGGTAGATTTTGATTGAACTTCAGAAGGAACTTCTTGACAATAGAACCAATTGCCTAGGGAGGTGTGAGGCCTCCTTGTCTGGATGTCTTCAAAAAGACAGTGGCTAGCTACCTGCTGGGGATGCTTCAGCGAAGATCCTACATCTGTGGTTTTCAACCTGTGGGTCCCCAGATGTTTTGGCCTTCAACTCCCAGAAATCCTAACAGCTGGTAAACTGGCTGGGATTTCTGGGAGTTTTAGGCCAAAATAACTGGGGACCCACAGGTTGAGAACTACTGCCCTACATTGAGTGATGATTGGACCTGATGGTCCATAATAAAGCAATGCAGAGCAAAGCATCCAGAAAGACAGTAAATGTGCAGAAGAATATACAGCGAGTTCACCTGTAGCCATAGTGAGAGATTTGGAAGAATAAGAACATTTTCAGGCTTTCAATCTGGCAATGAAATCATATCATTATGTTACACATTTGGAGTTATTGATAAACCCAAAGAGGAGGAAGGTGACTGGGTTAGACAAAAATGACTTTGGCTGAGGACTTGTGATTCTCCCGTTCACCCCTTTTTTCTCTTCTGGATTTCTTTCAGGTTTGATGGAGCTCAAAGCTGTGAAGCCAGGAGTCATTCGCATGCAGGCCAAGAAGACCTCTAGATTTCTCTGTATGAAGCCCAATGGACGACTGTATGGCTCGGTAAGTTTGATTGCCTGTGTGCTTGTTTGACAGGCCAAAGCTTGGATCAGAAATTATGTATCAACAAAAACATCTTGTTATCAGTATATTTTTGTAACAACCTGTTTTCACAAGGGGCGACAATTTGCCGTCCTTTGAGGCTGAGAGAGTGACTTAGAATCATAGAATAATAGAGTTGGAAGATAGCACATGGGCCATGCAGGAAAGCACAATCAAGGTATCCCTGACAGATGGCCATCCAGCCTCTGTTTAAAAGTCTCCAAGGAAAGAGCTTCCACTGGACTTCAAGGCAGAGAGCACCACTGTTGAATAGCACATATGGTCAGTAAGTTCTTCCTATTATTCAGGTGGAATCTCCTTTCCTGTAATTTGAACCCATTGCTCCATTGAGTCTTAGGGCCCTTCCACACAGCTCTATATCCCAGAATATCAAGGCAGAAAATCCCACAATATCTGCTTTGACATGGGTTATCTGAGTCCATACTCAGATAATGTGGGATTTTCTGTCTTGATATTCTGGGATATAGGGCTGTGTGGAAGTGCCCCTAGTTTCCAGGGCAGCAGAAAACAAGCCTGCCCCCTATTCCTTAGGACAGCCTTTCACATATTTATACATAGCTCTTGTGTTTCTTCTCAGCCTTCTCTTCTGCAGGCTAAACTCCTCATAGTTGCTCAAATTCAGTAGGTTTCTGTGGCCAAATAAGGATTCAAACTCTGATCTCCAGAGTTGTAGTCACTCAAATGCAACATCATGGTTGCTCTCCTGTTTGTGATATGCAAGCATAAGTCTACTATACACTTGCATATGTTTTTTTTTTGGTGGATTTTGAGGTCAATTTACTTTCCTCTCTTTACAGTGAATTAAGTCATCCCAAGATTTATAGGTCTACCATAAGAGCCACCCTGAATAACCATTCTGTGGCTGGTGGAGAGAGAAGTGGGATCAGATAACTAGCTATGTTCCATAGCCAAATGCAAACCAATGCCAACATTCACTAAGACCCTGGTGGATCTCAGTTGGTCCACCTCCACTGGAACCCTGGTGGATCTCAATTGGTTGTCTCCACTGAGACCCTAAGTGGTCCAGTCCTGAGTCTGAGGCATGGCCAGATGCATCTCTGACCCACTGTACTCCCTACCAACCAGGAGGAGGGCAAGAGCAAAAAATCCTGTGGATAGGTTTACCTTAGGGTCTCCATAAGTCTGAAACAACTTGAAGACACACAACAACAGCAATAATTAAACAACTGTTTCTGATCTCATGTTCATATAGTGCAGGGCTGGGAATCATGCAGCCTTCTTGTTGTTGAACTATAGCTGTCAGCTTTTACTAACCTTAGCTATGCAGTCTAGGACCCATTAGAGCTGCCTTTCAAGAACGTTTGGAGGGTCAAACAATTCCTATCCCTGGTTTTGGAGTTGCACACTTCCGCAAAAGATATGGCACAATTCCATTTAGCAGTTAATGCAGGTGGTCATTTGGTAGAACTTGCATGGCTGGTCTACAATGAACTCAGAAATTCCTAAACTTGAACTCCATTTGCAAATAATCTACAGCTTTTAGATTATTTTTCCCTACCCGTATATGGTAGTCTGCAAGTCATGCTGATGGAACAATGTTGAGAGCTGTAGTCTAAACAGTAAACTTTCCAAACTCTGATGACTCCTGATATCTCTAGAATACCATGTCTGTATATTGAATGTTATATTTATGAAATGTACCATAAACAGAAGCATAATCTCACTTATACTTCTTTCTCCAATAGTTGTTCTACGCTGAGGAGTCATGCAACTTCCATGAGAAGATTCTCAGTGATGGCTACAACCTGTACTATTCTGAAAACTACAACATACCTGTCAGTCTCAGCTCAACGGGGAGCCTGGGTCAGAGCCATCAGTTGCCTCCCTTCTCTCAGTTCCTGCCGTTAGTCAACAAAATTCCTCTTGAGCCTGTGTTTGAAGACTTTGACTTCTATGGACAGCAATTGGATGTTGAATCAGCTGATCCTTTGAGCATTTTAGGACAAAACCCTAGTTTCATGAGTCCGAGCTATGTCTTTGGATAAATGGGAATTCTTGATTGGTTGGGAAGGAATTTGAGGTCAAACTTTTAAGTAGAGCTTTTGCCAAACCTGGAGTTCTGGGTTTTCTTGCCATGAACAAAATGAAGCATTCACATGTGATGCAATAAGAGGGGAAGAAAGATGAGATTTCATTTCAACACAGATGCTGAAATGATTAAAATCTTTATATTGAATTGTTGACTCCAGCATCCCAAAACTGCCTAGTGTTGGGATGAATCAATGTATTTATGTGTTTCTAGGTCACATACAGACTGCCAACCAGAAGTGCGGACAAAAATATTGGGGGTTTTGAACCATTTTTACTAGTTTTGTTTTTCTTACACTGTAATTGTTCACCTTTCCAACTTGAGTTCTTCCTGAGTTATTTAAATAACTTATTTATTATATGCCAGATTTATTTATTGAGAAATTGCAGGACAGTCCTAATAAGGATTTTTGTGCTGACAAATAATTTATGTATTATTATTTATACAGTAGTGTGTATATATGTATATATTTTATATTTTTCCATATTTATTTCCCTTCCCGGAAAGGGAATGGCTAATAGTCTATTCTGTTATAAAGCTCCTGTGCCTTAGATTTTCTTTACTGGTAGTTTCCTCCTTTCTTTTCAATGAATACTTGGGAAGGAGGAAAGCAGAGGCAATGCAGAAGTGGGATTTTGTAGTGCTGGAGACCACTGCAAATAATAGGATTTTGAGCCTTGTTTTTCCCCACTTTGTCTATAGCTGTTCATATCTGCAAAGACCAAGTTTTTGTATCATTCTTGTCATGCCACCAAAAAAAAAAAAGACATAAAAAGCAACTGATAAGCATATAAAACAGACTGATTTCAACTGAGTTTCCAGTTCAAGTTACTTTAAAGCAAAAATAAAGAACTTGTTGATTTCCAGTTGTCACTGGACTAGAATTCCCATCAATCTCTGACTGCTACCTATGCTCGCTATGACTGCTGGGAGTTTTAGTCCAACAAGATCTGAAGGGCATCAGAAGGTCTCACTCCAAATCACCCCATCTCTGCCAACTGTAATTCATGCAGAAAAGAGTTTAAGTTCATGTTGTTTGTGTATATTTATTTATTTATATGCTCTATTGATTTTTCATGGAACTACAGTACTGTATTTTTTTCAGAATCCATGTTTTATGGCAAAAAGTGGTATGTTAGTATGATTTCTAAGTAGTGTGACAACACTGATTTCTCAGCATAATTGTTCAACTGTTTTTTTAAATATCTTTTTTTATTCCGTATTTCCTTATGTTTCTTATTTAACAGTGCTACACATATATGAATGGACAAGCTGTGAGATATGTACTGTAAAAAGAATGTGAATAAAGCATTGGTTTAAAAATTATTCTTGTGATTTCTAAAGGGTGGTCTCAGGTGTTCTAAGACAACCAGAAAGCAAGCCCTGAAGTACGTATTCTAGGATCTTCCTTCACAAGTGTCTGCATTTACTCTTTAAAAGATACCCTTCAACATTTCACAGGCGAAAGCCAGATTATGCCAAGCAACATCAGAAAAAGTTCAAGACATCAAAAGTAATTAACACAATATAATAATGCCCAAGCTAGGAGAGGCTGCAACAGTTTGCTTTTGCCTGAGCCTAATGGGAAGAACAAGATCCTGTCTCTTCCTATCCTCCCACATAAATTAATTAAGTGCAAAGGACTTTGTATCTTGAAATCAGTTTGCACCAGCTGGAGAAGAAAAAAACGTGGAAGGAAAGGACAAAAACTGGGACATTTAAAAAGTAGCTGAAAAAGTGGGATGAGAGATGAGTAATTGGGACAACTAGGAGGAGGGTGATCACAAACTTGGGCAGGGCCACACAGGACTAGTCTATACATACGCTGGGAACCAAGGATTTAAAATCAGAATCATAATGGTCTAGAAGGGCAAAAACAGTACTTTGAGGTTCATTCCCAACACAGAGAAAGAAAAGGCCTAGAATGACACACCATTTGAACTTAAGGAGAAAAAGGTTGAATTGCCATTGTGTTGGCAGATCCTAGAAATGTTGCTTTTGCAGACGATCACTTCCAGAGCTGTGCATGTCTCTGCTTGGCATGTGTGCACTGAGCTTGTAAAAGTAGCTAAGGTGATGGAGGAGACTCCATTAACTTGTCCGCTTTTACAAGCTCAATGTACAAGTGTCAAACAGTTCTTTCCTAGTTGGACTTACTGCAGAGGGCATGTAAGGGACTGCTGTGGATCCTTGGGAGGTTGCTGAAAATTACATCCTTGTAGGGCATCCAGCTACAAGAAAATGGCTGGATGAGTCTTTGTACCTCATTCACACTCCAATATCCTAGCAATGACTGGCCAAGATCCTGCATCAGACATGTGGCTAAAGTGTCAAGGTACACTCCATTTCCTACTCTGACCATCAAAACCCATCTTGAAAGTCAGGCTAGGGAAATGTTAGTCACTGAACAGTTGGTAAATGACCAAAAGTTCAATGATATAAGCCCAACTTGCACCACTACAATTCACCAAAAGGACTCCAGTCTATGTGTTCACTTTGGTTCAATTCTGATTAATTTCTTCCTTAGCAGCTCAACTCTCGAGGACTTGCAAGGAGAGACAGATTTCCTGTCAAAGGGCTCTTTCATCAGTGATCACAAGGACTAAAATCCTGTTGGTATAATATGCTGGCAATACTATTTTTCTTCCTGTTGCCACTTTGTGTGTGCCAGGAGCAACTTGAGAAACTGCAAGTCACTTCTGGTGTGAGAGAATTGGCCGTCTGCAAGGACGTTGCTCAGGGGATGCCCGAATGTTTTGATGTTTTACCATCCTTATGGGAGGCTTCTCTCATGTGTGCGCATGGGGTGTCGGAGCTGACAGAGGGAGCTCATCTGTGCTCTCCCTGGATTCGAACATGTGACGTGTCGGTCTTCAGTCCTGCCAGCGCAAGGTTTTAAACCATTGTGCCACTGGGGGCTCCTCCTGTTACCACTTACCAGTATGGACAGCAAGTCCATGGGCACAACATCCACGACAGATACTCCTCCAAGTAAAGCGTTGGAGAAACAGGCCACTCAAGAAATGTCAGGTGTTGTCTGTATGAACCTGGAGAAAGCGGGATTGCTAGGAAGAACACAAACACGATGCTAGCATGCTCTCCCCACCTCCATTTCTTGATTTCTCAGAAGGGTAATGATGAAATAGGACATTGTCCTAACTACAAACAGAGTCCCATCTGGTGGCATCATGATGTGAGCATGCCTCCTGTGTGGCCCCATCAGGTTACTAATGCCTAAGTGACATAATGATTCAGTTCTTGTGGGTTTTTTCGGGCTATATGGCCATGTTCTAGAGGCATTTCTCCTGACGTTTCGCCTGCATCTATGGCAAGCTTCCTCAGAGGTCTGCTGGAGCTGGGAAAAAGGGGTTTATATATCTGTGGAATGACCAGGGTGAGACAAAAGGCTTTTGTAAGTTGGGCTAGGTGTGAATCTTTTCAACTGACCACCTTGATTAGCATACAATGGGCTGACAGTGCCTGGAGCAAACTCTTCTTGAAAGGTGATTAGATGTCCCTGCCTGTTTTTCTCTCTGCTGTTTTAATTTTAGAATTTTTTAATACTGGTAGCCAGATTTTGTTCATTTTCATGGTTTCTTCCTTTCTGTTGAAATTGTCCACATGTTTGTGGATTTCAATGGCTTCTCTGTGTAGTCTGACATGGTGGTTGTGAGAGTGGTCCAGCATTTCTGTGTTCTCAAATAATATGCTGTGTCCAGGTTGGTTCATCAGGTGCTCTGCTATGGCTGACTTCTCTGGTTGAAGTAGTCTGCAGTGCCTTTCATGTTCCTTGATTCTTGTTTGGGCGCTGCGTTTGGTGGTCCCTATGTAGACTTGTCCACAGCTGCATGGTATACGGTAGACTCCTGCAGAGGTGAGAGGATCCCTCTTGTCCTTTGCTGAACGTAGCATTTGTTGGATTTTCTTGGTGGGTTTGTAGATTGTTTGTATGTTGTGTTTCCTCATCAGCTTCCCTATGCGGATCAGTGGTTCCCTTAATGTATGGCAGGAACACTTTTCCTCTGGGTGGATCTTCATCTTTACTCACGTGGCTTGTTTTTGGTCTTGCAGCTCTTCTGATGTCTGAGGTGGAGTATCCATTGGCCTGGAGAGCCCAGTTGAGGTGGTTCAGTTCATCTTGGAGGAGGTGGGGTTCACAGATTCTTTTTGCACGGTCTGCCAAGGCTTTAATGGTGCTTCTTTTTTGACTTGGGTGATGGTTGGAGTTTTTATGTAGATATCTATCTGTGTGTGGGTTTTCTGTAAACGGTGTGACCCAATTGTTGATCTGGTTTGCGGATGACTAGGACATCTAGAAAAGGCAGTCTTCCTTCCTTTTCTTTTTCCATAGTGAACTGGATGTTAGGGTGGATGCTGTTAAGATGTTCCAGGAACCTGTTGAGTTCTTCATCTCCATGGCTCCAAATGGTGAAAGTGTCATCCACATATCTGAACCATATAGTGGGCTTTTTGGTTGCTGTTTCAAGAGCTTGTTTTTCAAATTGTTCCATGTAGAAGTTAGCTATGACTGGCTGAGAGGGCTCCCCATAGCTACTCCATCTTTCTGTTCATAGAATTCATTGTCCCACTGAAAATAGCTGGTGGTGAGGCAATGGTGAAACAGCGCCGTGATGTCTTCTGGGAACCTCTGGTTGATGAGTGCCATGGTGTCTGCAACTGGGACCATGGTAAATAGAGACACCACATCGAAGCTGATCAGTTTGTCATTTGTATTTAGCTTGAGATTGCTGATTTTTTCAATGAAGTGGGCTGAGTCCTTGATGTAGTGTGTTGTGAGCCCAATGTGGCTTTGTAACTGTGCAGCAAGAAATTTGGCTAAGTCATATGTGGGGGACCCAATGGCACTCACGATTGGTCTGAGTGGGGTGGAGTCCTTATGGATTTTGGGGAGTCCATAAAGCCTGGGTGGAAGGGCTTCCGATTTACATAGCTGCTGTCGTATGTCGAAGTTGATTGAGGAGTTTTTAATTAGAGTGTTGGTTTTTCTGGTTATTTTGGAAGTTGGGTCTTGCTTAAGTTTTCTGTATATAGTAGGGTCCAGGAGTTTTCTGATCTTCTCCTTGTATTGCTCTGTATGCATGATGACTGTGGCATTCCCCTTGTCTGCTGCCATACATTAAGGGAACCACTGATCGCATAGGGAAGCTGATGAGGAAACACAACATACAAACAATCTACAAACCCACCAGGAAAATCCAACGAATGCTACGTTCAGCAAAGGACAAGAGGGATCCTCTCACCTCTGCAGGAGTCTACCGTATACCATGCAGCTGTGGACAAGTCTACATAGGGACCACCAAACGCAGCATTGCCCAAACAAGAATCAAGGAACATGAAAGGCACTGCAGACTACTTCAACCAGAAAGTCAGCCATAGCAGAGCACCTGATGAACCAACCTGGACACAGCATTTTATTTGAGAACACAAAAATGCTGGACCACTCTCACAACCACCATGTCAGACTACACAGAGAAGCCATTGAAATCACAAACATGTGGACAATTTCAACAGAAAGGAAGAAACCATGAAAATGAACAAAATCTGGCTACCAGTATTAAAAATATTCTAAAATTAAAACAGCAGAGAGAAAAACAGGCAGGGACATCTAATCACCTTTCAAGAAGAGTTTGCTCCAGGCACTGTCAGCCCATTGTATGCTAATCAAGGTGGTCAGTTGAAAAGATTCACACCTAGCCCAACTTACAAAAGCCTTTTGTCTCACCCTGGTCTTTCCACAGATATATAAACCCCTTTTCCCAGCTCCAGCAGACCTCTGAGGATGCTTGCCATAGATGCAGGCGAAACGTCAGGAGAAATGCCTCTAGAACATGGCCATATAGCCCGAAAAAACCCACATGAACTGAGTGATTCCGGCCATGAAAGCCTTCGACAATACATTGACATAATGATGTTATCACATTGCCTACATGATCCCTGATCAGCAGGGACCACTCCAGGAAATAGCAGCTAGCTAACTGAGAGCAGAAACAGTGCCCCCCAAATGGCACTGGGTTTACTGATACAAGATTGCTGACTAGCTAAGTTTTCCCTCTGTCTCCAACATCCCACCCTCACATTATATGGACTGCTAGCTGCTCAATTCACATACAAAAGCAATAAAGCATCTTGTTTCTGAGGGTAAGAATTCTTGGTGGGTTGCAATCACTTGAAGAACATTTCTTGCTCCCTTATGGAGGTCCCTCTTAATATACATAGTCCTATTTAATATGAATATTGTTTGGACTACAACTTAAGCATGGCTACACTCAGTAGTTGCTAGTTCGCATGTCTCATTATGAGAATGCATTCATCTTGTTGCTCATCTTGAATTGCAATGTTAAGTTGGATTTATGTCATTACAGCTCACTCTACTGACCGCACAATGACCCAAATATCCTATAACCCACTTTTCTCTGTTGCAGGCCCTTGAAATAGCCATTCTATGGTTTTTGGTGTTAGTGCTAGGAAAAGCAAATCCATCCACTTTGTTATAGCTAGATGCAGAGCACGGATACAATCTACAGAGATCCCTAAAGCATCCGCTATGTTCCTTATGGATGCCTGTTGTGTATCTTGTTTGTTGTTCCCTCCAAGCAGAAAATGGCCAATATAAGAGTGCTGCAACTGAGAAAAAGGTTGACTGTGGATTTGAACCGGATGCTATTGCAACTACATCTTGTACCTACGTATCCTAATACAGGATCACTTCCCATAATTTCTGCTTATTGACTTAGCCATGGCTTGTTTTTTCCTGCATCTATGACCACTTAGACTGAGTTTAGTCATTCTCCATTTTGTAGTTTGCAGATTGATATTTACGTGTTTGAACAGTACATTGCACAACCTCTTGCCATGAGATGCTATGAAAGTGTTAGTACAGTAAGACTTCCACATCTGTGAGAGAGGGGATACATTCCTGGCTAGGCTGCAGTTACTTGAAATTATAGGTACGACCAAAAACCATTGAATTAAGAGGGCATTTCCTGTCCCAGCATACCATAAAGTCTCCCTGGAGGACCGAGACACTTTAGAGAGGGATCTAATCTATGAATTTGCTAGGTTTTCCAGCACGAGTTTATGACAACTTTTGGGGGCCAAATCAGCCCCCTTACTGGAACTTGAACTAGACATTTCTTTTTGGTGTAACTAGTTTTGGATACATAGTAGACATTGAATGTTTGCCTTGCGTCTGTATATGCTGGTATATGCCCTGAGTCCTCTCGGGTAGACAGGGAGGAATACAAATGAAGAGTTGTTGTTGTTGTTGTTGTTGTTGTTGTTATGCCACTTTAATGGTCATAGCATCAACCTATGGAATTCTGGAAATTGTACGTAGTTTAGGAGAGAACTTATTATGATCCAGGGAGCACAAGAAAGTTGAATAGAGCTTTATGGCAGACACATTTCTGCCCTTCTCCAAACTACAGAAACGTTTCTGCCCTTCTCCAAACAGCCCTTCTTCAAACTACAAATTCTAGGATTCTACCTGATGGCGCCATGGCAATGAAAATGGTATTAAGTTGATACAATGGTGCAGAGTGGATACACCCTAGAGCTTAAATTATATTTGATTCTTTCCTCCTAAATGTTCTTCAAATTTGATTTATCAATACTTGTTGGCAAATGTTCCTAGGAGCAGGAAGATCTTCTCCACACAGAACCCTCCCTGCCAAATTCATACACTACAGATAATGAGGACATATTCTAGGTTGGAAGATCTTCATGTGGGTAGATTTCCACAGCAACTGCCAATCAAGGAGCCCATCTGAAAGAAGAGAAGACAGAAAATCCAAGGAACCATCCTGAAGCAAATTCCTGATTGCACTGCTTCTCTTCTGAGGTGGTACAGAATAGTGGCTAAGAGACAGAGTTATGTATCAGAGAGTTCTCAGTTTGATTTTTGTTGCTTTTTTTTGTTTCTTATTAAATTACTAAGACTTTTAAAACAGACTTCAGGCTCCCCACATCTGAAATACTGTTGATGTTAACTTCCATCAAATTGCCTTTAACTTCTGATGACCTGATACATGAGAGACATTCAAGTCATCTTGCCTTGCAGACCCAGGATTGAGTCTATCCATCTGCAATGAAGTCTTCCTCTTTCTACCTTACCAAGCATGATTGTGTTTTCTCATGATATGTTCAAAGCATGACAGTCTCAGTTTTATCATTTTGGCTTCTCAGGAGAATTCAGTCTTGATTTGCTCTAAAACCCATTTACTTGTCTTTTTATGAATCCAAGTTATTTGTAGCACTCTGAGATAACACCTTTCAAATGAGTCAATTTTCTTCCTAATAGCTTTCTTCATTGTCCATCTTTCATGGGCATATATACTATCAGGACATGCAATAGCATGGACACTTCTGACTTTGGACATCCAATAATGTATCATTATCCTTGAGGGTCTTAATCGAGTGCCTTTATAAGCGACCCTTCCAGGTCATAATAAGACTTGGAAAGGTAACTATAAAGACACTCTTTATGATAATAATTAGTATAGTTCTTTCATTGCATGCATTATTTAGTTGTAAACTTTATAGGAGCCCTGTAAAGTAGACCCATATTATCCCATATGAATTAAAGAAATGAAAAGACATAATAATTTCATTTCTTTCATTCATATGGGATAATATGGGTCTACCTTATATGACTCCTATATTGTTTACAACTAAATAATGCATGCAATGAAAGAGCTATACTAATTGTTATCACAGAAACTTAAAGCTTGAAGGTACTTCAGAAGTCCTCTAAATATAACTCTCTGCTAAGGAAAGAAATACTATATTTTTGCATCAATTTATCTGCAAAAGATCTGGTCCTCAATGAAGTGAAATAAAACTAGTGCATTCTGAATCTCATCCTAAAATGTGTGAAACACTGGACAGAATGCTGTACTCCAACTTTCTCATGCTCTGACTATAGTACAGTATACCACACACTTTTTCATTAACACATATAATGCACCTTCTTTAATTATGTGTATCGCTCACCCCAGAATTCAGGCTTGTCCTGCAGGAGAGGCCTCAAACTTCTTCTTGCGGCCCTCCATGCCACTCAGAGCATCAATGTTCTTGCGCCAGTCACCCACTTCCCGATTCTCCTGCTGGAAGATGACAGAAGTAAAAGAACATGGCGTTATAGCCTCCTGTTAGATACAAGTCATGCATAACTGCTGATCGATAAATTCTTCTTGGTTTTTTTTTTGGACTGGAGACTACACTGAGGACACGATGGAAATTTTCAAGGGGGTCTGGTGATCTCTCACAGTCCTGCCATTAGAAAATGCGGGGCAGTTGCCACAAGTGGCAGATGCTAGGAGGCATTGTGGTCTCTTGGCTACCATGCTGTCTTGAGGAGCAGTAATGAAGCATGCTCTCCATTCATGAGATTCAATTCTCAGGCCAGTTATTTACTTTTGTATACAGGAAATGGGACATATCAGCATCTTGTCCTTTCACCTAAGTCCAGAAATGTCTTGGGCACCTGTTACTCATCCTCATCATCCATCTCTGTGCCTTGGCATTCCTAGGGATTTTGGAAGTTAAGCTTGCCCAGATTAACAGGACAAAGGAGGAAACAAGCGTCTATATCAAAATAAGGACATTGCAGTTATAGATTCATAATCTAGAGCTACAAATGAGTAACGTGCTTTGTAACTCTGTACATAGAGTTACAAGAGGGCCTCTTGGTGGTGCTATGGGTCAAACTGCTAAACTGTTGAACTTGCTGAACAAAAGGTTGGTGGTTTGAATCCGGGCAGTGGAGTGAGCTCCCACTGTTAGGCCCAGCTTCTACCAACCTAGCAGTTCTAAAACATGCAAATGTGAGTAGATCAATAAGTACCACTCCAGCTGGAAGGTAATGGTGCTCCATGCAGGCATGCTGGCACATGACCTTGGAGGAGTCTATGGACAATGCCGGCTTTTTGGCTTAGAAATGAAGATGACACCACCCCCCAGAGTTGGACATGACTAGGCTGAATGTCAGGGGAAACCTTTACCTTGGTTCAAATTCGGGCAGTGGGGTGAGCTCCCACTGTTAGGCCCAGCTTCTACCAACCTAGCAGTTTGAAAACATGCAAATGTGACTAGATCAATAGGTACTGCTCCAGTGGGAAGGTAATAGTGCTCCATGCAGTCATGCTTGCACATGACCTTGGAGGTATCTACGGACAATGCCGGCTCTTTGGCTTAGAAATGAAGATGAGCACCACCCCCCAGAGTTGGATACGACTAGGCTTAATGTCAGGGGAAACATTTACCTTTACCTAGTTGCATATGATGCCAATATTGCCATGATCATAAATGCCCCCCTAACCCAGCTGTGGGGTGTGTGTGTGTGTGTGTGAAGGAAGTCTGTTTAGTGCAGGGAGGCTGGCATTTAGAGTGCCCTCCTACCAGTTAGAAGGTTGAAATGATCAGAAGCAGGACCTCTCTCACAATTTTTTGTTGCAGCCTGCTTGCTGGTGGAAGGAGACTGGAAACATTGTAGTCTTTGTATCCTGATCAGTAGCTGAGCGAGCCCTTTCCCCAATGGGCTTGTAGATTTGGGGCAGGACACATCATTGGGAGAGGTGTCTAGTCTACACTGTAGAATTAATACTGTCTGACACCACTTTGTTTTCCATGGCTCAATGCTACTGTATCATGGAAGCTGTAAAGGAGACCCCGGTGGCGCAGTGGGTTAAACCCTTCTGCCGGCAGGACTGAATACTGACAGGTCACAGATTCATATCTGGCGAGAGCGCGGATGTCCTCCCTCTGTCAGCTCCAGCTCACCATGCGGGGACATGAGAGAAGCCTCCCACAAGGATGATTAAAAAAACATCAAAATCATCCGGGTGTCCCCTGGGCAACGTCCTTGCAGACGGCCAATTCTCTCACACCAGAAGCGACTTGCAGTTTCTCAAGTCGCTCCTGACACACACAAAAAATGGAAGTTGTAGTTTTGCAAGGTTTTTAACCTTCTCTACCAGAGAATGTTGGTGCCCCATCAAACTGTAACTCTTACTGAGCCATAGCAGTTAAAGTCAAACTGCATTAATTCTAAAGAACAGAGCCAATCTAAAGTTATGTCTATGTAACTAAATAGCCGATGTACTATACAGCAGATATGTTTAGCATGGTTTTTGAAAATATGCTTTCTTAAGTGGCAAAAAACATCTGTTTGTCTCAACATGCAATTCAGTGTGCTTTGATTTGTCGTTCCTGAAAAGTAAACACAAGTGTAATTTGCAGAGTCTTCCCATATGTACCATCTCTTTCCAGATTGAGTTTAAATATTGTACAAACATACTTTCCTCTGTATTGTCGAAGGTTTTCATGGCGGGAATCACTGGGTTTTTGTAAGTTTTCCGGGCTGGATGGTCATGTTCCAGAAGCATTTTCTCCTGATGTTTTGCCTGCATCTATAGCAGGCATCGTCAGAGGTTGTGAGGTCAGAACCTCTTAGGATGCCTGCCACAGATGCAGGTGAAATGTCAGGAGAGAACGCTTCTGGAACATGGCCATACAGTCCAGAAAACTTACAACAACCCACATACTTTCCTCTTTTTCCTTCCCTGCCTTATCGACTCCTTGCCTTCTAGGCTCACCTTCTCGGTATCATCTTTCTTGACTTGTTTGAGATTGGCCCGCAGATCCATGGAGACCTTGTGCTTGGTGCCGAGTAGGGCTTGCATCATGGCATCCGCTGAGAGACGGACACGGCGAAGAGCTGGACGTTTGAACTTGCCTCGTAGGTCAAAGATCTTTTGGTTCAGATCCTCAATCTGGAAAAGCGAGAGGAAGAGTGTAACCATAATAGTGCAGAGTTATAGCACTTTGATGCCGCTTTAATTGGCATGACTCTGTCCCATTGGATTCAGGGACATGTAGTTTGTGGAGATACTTAGAATTATTTTTGGAGAGCAAAATAGTGCACTTTCCTCCAAATGATATTAGATCTCTCTAGCAGAAAATTCCAAATAACTGTCATTAAAATATAGATTTTTTTTAAAAAAAAAAATCATGTCAGGGCAAATAGAAAATACTGCAAGTTGCTTCTGGTGTGAAAGAATTGGTTGTCTGCAAGGACGTTGCCCAGAAGACGTCTGGATGTGTTACAATCCTGTGGGAGGCTTCTCTCATGTCCCTGCATGGCAAGCTAGGGCTGACAGACAGGAGCTCAGAATGTCAAGCAGATTTGAACTGCTGACCTTCAGTTCTTCAGGTCAGCAGTTCAGCCAGCACAAGGGTTTAACCCATTGTGCCACCGTGGCTCCAAAAATTCCATAGGCTGGAGCCATAATAGTTAAAATGGTATTAGAATGCTATGATTCTTTGGTATTGCTTCCCCTTAAAAGTTCCCACGGAGTCATGCTGGAGGACCTAGCAATTTTCCAGTGCAGTTTTAAGGCTCACTGGGACCAGAAGTGTGGTAAATTAATGGCATTGGGTCATATCTGTGGTTCTAAGTAACCACAATCAGCCCGATAATGTATTTCCTCGTGGATACAGGAGTCTTACGGTATATCCAATATAAAAAGAAATAACTAAAGCAATGGACCATAAGAAGGTAACATGTAAGAAGGTTCAGGACTCCTCTTCTTTGTTCTTGTTTGATATTGTGTGTCTTCAAATCACATCCTAGTCCCTAAGGTGATCCTATCATGGGGTTTTTGTAACACTATTTGTTTGCAGGGAATGTTTTTGGCTTCCTCTGAATGGGGTTGCTTTCCCTGGCTGTTCGCTCGGAGAGGCCCCGCCTTCCCCCCGCCCCGCCTCTGACACACGCAGAACGCTCCATCCTCAATCATTCAAAGTCAAAGCAGATTATATGTATGATGCTTTTAAGATTCTAATATGGAAAGGAGCCCACACTGCCCCCTAGCGATTGTCATTAATATATGCTTAACTTTTCCACAACATATATATTGATTTGTGTGTGTGTGTGGCCTACATTAAAAAAAAAAGGTTCCTAAGCAGCTTATAAAAATCCCATGGCAATCAGAGCTATATATATTTCCTCTACTTTTATCTGGGTAATAGTCCTCATCGGGTGCCCTGACAAATTTGTGAACATCCTGCGACACCTCCATGATGACATGATGGCAACAGTCTTGGACAGCAATGGCTCTCAAAGTGCCCCATTTAAGGTGGAATCAGGTGTCAAATAGGGATGTGTTATTGCCCCAACCTTATTTTCCATCTTTTTTTGTTATGATACTCCCACCGGAGTGGAAATCATCTATTGGACAGATACCAAGCTATTTAACCTCAGCAGATTGAAAGCCATAACCAAGGTCACAACAATATCTGTTATAGAACTCCAATATGCTGATGTTATGTAGTCTGTGTGCATTCAGAAGAAGGCCTACAAGCCACTCCAAACACCATTGCAGAAATATATGAGAAGCTCAGCCTCTCATTATACATTGAGAAAACTAAAGTGCTCTTCCAGCAGGCACCAGCCATTCCCTTTGCAAATGCCAGAAATACAGCTTAATGGTGTAACATTAGAATATGTTGACCATTTCTGCTACCTTGGCAGCCAACTCTCCACAAAAGTCAACATTGACACTGAAATACAACATCGCCTGAGCTCTGCAAGTGTAGCATTCTTAGGAATGAAGCAGAGAGTGTTTGAGGATTGGGACATCCATATGGATACAAAAATGTTTGTTTATAAAGCTATTGCCCTCCCAACCCTGCTATACGCCTGCGAAACGTGGCCTCTCTACAGATGTCACACTCAACTCCTGGAATGATTCCATCAGCGTTGCCTCTGAAAAATCCTGCAAATCTCTTGGAAAGACAGGTGGACAAATGTCAGTATGCTGGAAGAAGCAAAGGCCACCAGCATTGAAGCAATGCTCCTATGCCATCAACTCTGCTGGACGGGCCACATTGTCAAAATGCCCGATCACCGTCTCCCAAAGCAGTTACTATATTCCCAACTCAAGAACAGGAAACATAATATTGGTAGACAGGAAAAGAAATTTAAAGATAAGCTTAAAGCCAAATTTAAAAACTGTGGCATAGAAACTGAGAACTGGTAAGCCCAGGCCACTGAGCTCTAACTGGAGGTCAGCTGTGACCAGCAGTGCTGCGGAATTCACAGAGGCATGAATGGAGCATGAAAAGGAGAAACAGGCCAAGAGGAAGATACGTCAAGCCAATCCTGACTAGGACTGCCTTCCACCTGGAAACTGGTCCTCATTGTGGAAGAACATGCAGATCAAGAACAGAGCTCCACAGACACCTACAGAACTACCGCCAAGACCCTATGCTTCAAAGGTCATCATACTCAGACAACGAGGGATTGCCTAAGTAAGTAAGTAAGTAAGTAAGTAAGTCCTGTAATGTTGATCACCCTCCAAATGGATCTTGCCCAGTTCTCTATGCCACACGAGTTGATAATTCCAGGCAAGACAACATCATGCTGGATCTCCATTTCAGGGTTCCTTTTGTGCTTCCTATTATTACTATTGTTATTATATGTAATTATAGAATTACAGAATCCTAGAGTTGGAAGAGACCTCATGGGCCATCCAGTCCAACCCCCTGCTAAGGAGCAGGAATATTGCATTCAAATCACCCCTGACAGATGGCCATCCAGCCTCTGTTTAAAAGCTTCCAAACAAGGAGCCTCCACCACACTCTGGGGCAGAGAGTTCCACTGCTGAACGGCTCTCACAGTCAGGAAGTTCTTCCTCATGTTAGATGGAATCTCCTTTCTTGTAGTTTGAAGCCTTTATCTCTCCTGAAGTGGCTATGTGAAACGCCAAGGTGGCACACCTCTGAAAGTGTCTGACACTCACCTCATTGACACTTTTGCTGACCCGGGCTTCCATGTCATAGCGCTCTTCATCAACTTTGTCAACCTGTCTGTGGAGTACCCGGCACATCTCCTGTTGAGTGAGAGACAGATCAAGATGAAGCATGCTGCATTAGTAGGCTTATGCTGAATAAAGGCTCAAAGAGGTAAGAAAGAAGAAAGGACAGTATCGAAGCTCACTCTGTCATATGCAGAAAGCCTTAGCAATGCTTGAGATTCTGAGAGACAACTTAGCTCAACTCAACTGGTGAAAGGAAGAAAGGAAGTTCCATGTCTATAAAAGATATTTAGCATTGTTTGAGACAAGGTAGTCTCTCAAATGATGAATTGTGCCCGATTGTCATTTCAAGTGATCTAGTACACTTTGTTTTGTCCTTGGAAGATAACAGGGATCTAATTTCCTGAGGCAACTCTGGCTTAATCTTTGCCAGATGCTAAGCTTGTATTTATACGCTGATAGCATGGTTTCCCTCCATAAACTGTTGCTTCAGAACTGTGCATCAGAGCAACTAGACTTGCAAATAAAGCCCCCGTTAACCTGATGACCACAGATACAGAAGGTGGTAAAAATGTTTGATACAGCAAGCAGTCTTTTGTTACAGGTGCATTGCTGTTGTTTCCTGATGCAAATGCCTGTTGCTTTTATTACAGAACCAGAAGACAATTTGCTTCACCTGGGACCTCCCCAATATAAACATTTCATCCAGATGGTGTCTCACCACTCCATTTCATATATGAAGTTCAAAAGAGAGGTTGTTAATTTAATTTTAGTACAGGTGATGCAGAAGTATGCTCTGCTTCACCTGAAAGAAACAGGCTAATTTCAGAGGATTCGGGGCAAGTGGCACTATCTTCCTTAGCCCTCCTCGCAACTCCTCAGCATTTCCCACTTGAACCCTACCTTCACCTGATGATGCTGATCAGGAGCATATTCACATTGCACTGTTAACACAGACTGATTCCACTTTACATTATGGTTCTATCCTAGGGAAACCTGGGATTTGCAGTTTGGAGAGGGATTTAGAATTTTCAGCTCAATTCTCCCTGAATGAAAAGTTAGATAGGAGAAACTCTTTACTTCCCATTAGGGTTGTGCACTTGGGGTAAACCTTGACCCGTTTCGTGTCCCAGTTTTCGGTGGGGCCCCCGATCCATTTTTTTGGGAGCTTCCCAAAATCAGGTGGGCAGATGCAGATATCTATTTTTCTATCAGCCCATTATTGGGGGGGGGGGGTTCTCAGGCTCCCCTTCCCGCCATTTTAGGCATTTTAGCTCTTTTCCTCTGGAGGAAAGACGTTCAGTTACAGGTAGGCATGTGCTTTAAGGAGGCTTCTTACCTGCTTCTTTCTTGAGAGGAAGCGCCAGCTGCAGGAAGGCATGTGCTTTAAGGAGCCTTCTTACCTGTTTCTTACTTTAGAGAAGGTGCTTGGCTGCAGGCAGGCACACGTGCTTTCTGGGCCTGCACACCACATGCACTTTCCAAGTCAAGGAGGCAAGTTCTCTTACTCCAGAAGAGGTGCTCAGCTGCAGGCAGGAAGGTGCACATGCTTTCTGGACCTGCACACCACACACTCACTCTTTTTCAAGGCAAGAAGGAAAGGTCTCTTACTCCAGAGGAGGCACTCAGCTGTAGGCAGGCACACGTGCTTTCTGAGCCTGCACACCACATACTCACTCTCTTTCCAAGGCAAGGAGGCAAGTTCTCTTACTCCAGAGGAGGTGCTTGGATGCAGGCAGGCACACGTGCTTTCTGGGTCTGCACGACACATTTTTAAGGCAAAGAGGCAAGTTCTCTTACTCCAGAGGAGGTGCTCAGCTGCAGACAGGCAGGCACACGTGCTTTCTGGGCCTGCACACCACACACTCACTCTTTTTCAAGGCAAGAAGGAAAGTTCTCTTACTCCAGAGGAGGCCCTCAGCTGTAGGCAGGCACACATGCTTTCTGGGCCTGCACAACACACAGATACTCTCTTTCAAGGCAAGGAGGCAAGTTCTCCTTCTTTGGAGGAAGTGCTCAGCTGCAGGCAGGCAGGCAGGCAGGTGTGCGTGCTTTCTGGGCCTGCACACCACACACTCATTCTCTTTCCAAGGCAAAGAGGCAAGTTCTCAATATTACTCTAGAAGAGACACTTGGCTGCAGGCAGGCAAGCATACTTTCTGGACCTGCATGCCACACACACACTATTTCCAAGCCGAGAGGGATGGAGCGCCCCGTGCTCATGAAAAGCAGGTGAGAAGCCGGGATTGGCTCCCACTTGCTTTCATGTTGAGCTGATTTTCGTTACATGTTCCCAAAAGTAACAAAAGAATGAATGAAACAAAGGAAAATGGTTCTGTGCACAATCCTACTTCCCACTACAAACTACAAGTCTCAGATTTCATAGAAAGGAATCATGAGTGTTAAAACTGAATTGAATGGTTAAAATTACGTAGTGTGGATGCACCTCAGATCTTGTCCCTGGTGAAGCCCTGATTTTCCTTTGCATTCCTTATTTACCTGCAACTCTGCGAGACCAAGGCCTGCCAGTTCTAAAGGTGTGCAGCGTTCTGAGAGGTATCGCTCTTTCTCCTGAACTCTCTCTTCTTCCTCCTTTTCCATTTCATGCTTTGCCACCTGGAGCAACAGTGTCTGGCAGAGAAAATACATATATATATATACAGGTTGAGAATCCCTTATCTGAAATACTTGAGATCAAAAGTGTTTTAGATTTTGGATTTTTCTCTGATTTTGGAATATTTCCCCAGTGTGTCCTTCTCACCAAATACTTTGTATCTGGTTAGTTTTCTTTTTTTCTGATTTCCTTGAATCTTTCCCAGTGAGCCCTCTCCATCATCTAGGTCAGTGTTTCTCAACCTGTGGGTCGGGACCCTTGGGGGGGTTGCAAGGGGGTGTCAGAGGGGTGGCCAAAGACCATCAGAAAACACAGTATTTTCTGTTGGTCATGGGAGTTCTGTGTGGGAAGTTTGGCCCAATTATATCATTGGTGGGGTTCAGAATGCTCTTTGATTGTGGGTAAACTATAAATCCTAGTAACTACAACTCCCAAATGTCAAGGTCTATTTTCCCTAAACTCCACCAGTGGTTACATTTGGGCATATTGAGTAGTAGTGCCAAGTTTGGTCCAGATCCATCATTGTTTGAACTATAAATCCCAGTAACTACAACTTCTAAATGAGAAAATCAATATCTCCCCCCAACCCCACCAGTATTCAAATTTGGGTGTATTGAGTATTTGTGCCAAATTTGGTCCAGTGAATGAAAATACATCCTGCATATTAGATATTTACATTACGATTCACAACAGTAGCAAAATTACAGTTACACAGTAGCAACGAAAACAAATTTATGGTTGGGGGTCACCACAACATGAGGAACTGTATTAAGGGGTTGCGGCATTAGGAAGGTTGAAAACCACTGATACAGTTTGATTCCAATATGGTTTCTTTTACTTGGAATCTTGTCTCATGTGTTTTCTCTACCAGCTACTTTGTGTTTGCTGTGTTTTCTTCCCCATGTCAACCCCCTTTGATCTGTCTCCCAAGATCACCTTAAGTTGCAGTTTCCGGGATGCTGATATCTTGGATTTTCTCTGTCATTGAATAAAAAGAAACAAAGAAGAAATATTTATTACAAACAGGCACAGTAATGATCTTCCAAACTTCTTCTTCCAAATAAAGCAGTCTAGGCTGACAGATAAAGCTTAAGTTCACATTAAGGGAGACATCTCAATGGGAAAAGAAGGAAAGAACGTATAGTTCTACTTTGAGCCTGATGAAGCTAAATTCAGTGGCATTCGGCAACTTGGAAGAAGCTTGGCTTGTACTATCTAACCTTGGTGGAGTGAGTTTTAATGCATATATAAAGCTTGGAAAGGGTCCCTTTTCTGTTATAAACTCAATTATTGAGTCCTGGTTCTGCCCAATATTCCACTTATCTGGGCCTCCTTTGGTCATCTCCACCTATTTAAAAATTGAAATACAAGGTCCAAATCTACTTTTGTAAAAAGGCTATTTCAGACACACAGCCCCAGTTGTGAATCCCTCTTGTTTACATTGCTGCTTTTTTAAAATAGAGTATAAGCCGACTCGAATATAAGCTGAGGCACCTAATTTTCCAACAACAAAAAACAGGGAAAATGTATTGACTTGAATATAAGCTGAGGGTAGGAAATGCAGCAGCTACTGGTAAATTTCAAAATAAAAATGGATACCAATAAATATTAATTGAGGCATCAGTGGGTTAAATGTTTTTTGAATATTTACATAAAACTATAATTTAAGATAAGACTGTCTAACTCTGATTAAACCATTATTCTAACCACCTTCAATGTAAATGTGCTTACGTATTCTTCCAATAATAACAAAGTAAAATAATAAACGTAATAATAATAGAGTAAAAATGTAATAATAATAATAATAGTACAGTAAAATAATGTACATGTAATAATAATAATAATAAATAGAATAAAATAATAAATGTAATAATAACAATAATAAATAGAGTAAAATGTAATAAAATAATAATAAAGTGAAATAATGTAAATGCAATAATAATAATAATAATAATAATAATAATAATAATAATAATAATAATGTAATGTTCGTTTGTGGGATTAACATAAGTCAAAAACCAATGGACAAACTGACACCATATTTGGACGCAATACACATATCAAGCCAACAAGTGACTGTCACTCATAAAAACACTGAAAAACACAGCAAAAGAGACTTTAAAAGCCAAAAATTAAAAAATACATTACAATGCACGTGCAAAACCACACACACACACACACACACACACACACACATATACACAAAGACACATATATACACATACACAAAATATACACACACACATATACACATATATACACACACAAAACACATATACACAGACTGGGCCACAGCAACGTGTGGCAGGCGACGGCTAGTAATAATAATAAATAGAGTAAAATATTTTTAAGCCTTAAAAAGGGCTGAAAAACTTGGCTTATACTCGCGTATATATAGTAATTGCTTATTTTGTGAAATGTTCTAGTATTTTAATGACAGTATTGTGGTGTGGACTGGTATGAGGAGATCCATGGGGATGATACCAACCTAGTGTTGCCACTGGAGTGCTTTAGAGATGGATTACTCAAACAATGAAGCCAGAGCCTGAGTTTGCATGACCTGAACAGGGTTGTTGATGACAAGGGCTTTTGGAGATCTCTCATTAATGGAGTCACCATAAGTCAAAGCTGACTTGAAGGCAATTATCTGCAACAAACCCCTGGAAGGAGAACATGTGAACTTACCTTATCATGTGGCTCAACGGCATAGGCTCGATAATTAGCAGAAGATTTTCGACGAAGGGGAGGGACAGTGGCAGGGGGAGGAGGAGGAGCGGGTGTAGGCTTGGAAGGTGGCACTTGTGGCTTTGTCTCAACAACAGTTTCTTCCGTTTCTTCTTCCACATATTCCTCTTCCTCCTCTTCTTCATACTGCAGTAATAAATAACACATTAATTTCATCTTGCTCATTGTCACAATGTTTTTATGGCATACTATGGAAGGAGCAGGGAAGCTCTGTAAATGCTGCCATGCATCTCATCTTTGAGGTTGGGGTTTAATTGAAAATACAAGAAATACAATACAATGATAACACCACCAACAAAAGGATTTTGCATCTACAAGTTCCTGATACAGAGGATTGGCGCAGAAAAGGAAGGAAATTATATAACTGCCTACCTCTGGGACTGGATAATCTATCGATCGGGCATGGGCAAACTTCAGCCCTTCAGGTGTTTTGGACTTCAACTACCACAATTCCTAACAGCCTATCAGCTGAAGTTTGCCCATGCCTGATCTATAGTCTTTGAAATGCAATTCCCATCTACCATAAGCACTTAGCTGGGATGATGGGAGATACAGCCCAACAATTTCAAAGGGCTACAAATCCCCATTTCTGGCTTCTGTCTTGGGGATTTTCAATGATAGTCAATTTAAACAATTTTACTCCCTTTTACTCCCTTTTTAAAAGTATAATCTTATATGGAAAAGCAGATTACTTATAGGAAGACTGGGGACATCTGTAGTTTGAGGACTGGGACATCTGTAGGGAGGCCAAGGTGCTTGTTTGTAAAGTTATTATCCTCCCAATCCTGCTATACGCCTGTGAAACGTGGACTGTCTACAGACATCACACTCAACTCCTGGAAGGATTCCATCAGTGTTGCCTCTGAAAAATCTTCCAAATCTCTTGGGAAGATGGATGGACAAATGTCAGCATGCTGAAAGAAGCAAAGACCACCAGCATTGAAGAGATGCTCCTACGCCATCAATTCTGCTGGATTGGCCACGTTGTCTGAATCCCGATCACCATCTCCCAAAGCAGTTACGATACTCCCAACTCAAGTACAGGAAACATAATGTTGGTGGATAGGAAAAGAGATTTAAAGATGAGCTTAAAGCCAACCTTAAAAACTCTGGCATAGACACCAAGAACTGGGAAGCCCTGGCCCTTGAGTGCTTTAACTGGAGGCCAGCTGTGACCAGCAGTGCTGCAGAATTCCGAGAGGCATGGATGGAGAGCAAAAGTGAGAAACTTGCCAAGAGGAAGGCACGTCAAGCCAGCCCTGACCGGGACCGCCTTCCACCTGGAAACCGATTTCCTCACTATGGGAGAACATGCAAATCAAGAATAGGGCTCCACAGCCACCTATGGACCCAACGCCAAGGCAATAGACTTGGAGGGCCACCATCCTCAGGCTACAAGGGATTGTCTAAGTAAGTAAACAAATAAGGATTTTAATACAAATTCCTAATCAGATCCAGGACTTCATTTGTCTTTCTGTCATTTATAGTTCACCCACTAGATGTCACCAGTTTTATTTGGGTGGGATAAGGTTTTCCTTTGGTCATTTTTCTTAGAAAGAGAGTCAGTGGGAGTGTCATCAAGGTTTCTGCAGTCTTGTGGCAACCACCATGAATTTCATGTATGTTTCTTTGTCAAGGGATACTCAACAGTAGTTTGCCATTGCCATCATACCCTACAATAACTTGTATTTCTTGGCAGTCTGACTGCTTTGATTAGCTCAGACAGGGTCTGGTGCCTTCAGGCTAGATAACTAGTATGCTGTCCCCTAATTCATTGCTTCCCAGGCTTGGGTTCCCAGATATTCTTTAGTATTCCCATCATCTATTATCATAGGCTATGCTGTCCAAAATTATGGGATTTATAGTCCATCTTGTCTGTAATTTCATATTCCCTAATAATTCACAGATAAAAGGCTCAATATGTACAGCCAAGAAACATCAGAGTGTGGTCAAGATAGCCACACCAGATTGTGATCAAGATGGCAGACATTAAGGAAGGCTACACCAGTTTGCTTTTGCTTGTGTTAACTCAGGCATGGGCAAACTTTGGCCCTCCAGGTCTTTTGGACTTCAACTCCCACAATTCCTAACAGCCTACCGGTACCACCGCAGTAGCACAGTGGGGTGACCTGCTAGCTGCAGAAAAACTGCTCACCAGAAGGCAGTTTGAAGCCGGGGTGAGCCCCTGCCATTAGCCCTAGCTCCTGCCAACCTAGCAGTTTGAAAACACGTAATGTGAGTAGATTAATAGGTACCACCTTGGTGGGAAGGTAAAAGACGCCCATGCAGCCATGCTGGCAATCATGACCAGGAGGGTCTATGCACAGAAGGCTCCTTGGCATGGAAAAATAGAACAAAAGCACCTCCCCATGGCCAGAGTTGAGTATCGCCTCCAGACACTAGAGATGGAAAGGGAAACCTTTGCCTTTGTTTGTATATTGTATGTCATTGTTCACTGTATAAAAGGCATTGAATGTTTTCATACCTATGTGTATACCGTAATCCGCTCTGAGTCCCCTTGGGAAGATAGAGTGGAATATACATAAAATGTATTATTATTATTTGAAACACAACAAGATGAGTCCACAGCAGTTACTCTGCTGGCTGTTGCATTGGATCACACGTCGGACACTTCCCAAGTGTCTAGGGCTTGTGATGTATCGGCGAATAATGCATGCAGGTCCCAGTAAAGTGGCCTTCCGTCCCTGGCAGATGGTAATTTTGTCAGCGCTGATTGTGTTTAAGTGCAGACCAAGGTCTTTAGGCACTGCACCCAGTGTGCCGATCACCATTGGGACCACCTTAACTGGCTTGTGCCAGAGTCTTTGTATTATTATTATTATTATTATTATTATTATTATTATTATTATTATTTGAGGGGGAGAAATATAATCCTAAAATAGCTTGATTCTTGACTTTGTTTAGAAATTAAGAACTTCTGGAAGTTATATCTAAAAACAAATCATTTCAAAATTTGTAAAGAAGACGAGTGCTAAAAAACTACCACAGGTGATCCCTTGCAAACACTTTGGGAACTCAAAATATTAGACATAATTCTATAGGAGAGATATGACATATATATATATACATGAACTAGAATGTCAATTTTATAAAGTCAATATCGATCAAAGGGCTGCTGTTACGTCACTACATGGCAGAGCCAGCAAAATGCCCAATACATATTGCACACTGATGCACAGAGTGCATTGATGCACATTGAACACTGGTGTGCATTGGTCCCAATGCACATTAGGCTCTCTTGGGGGTGTTCTGATACACACCATGATCTTAGCAATTCGCTCAGAGGATTTCATGGTACTTCTACTACTCAAAGCTAAATTAATTAAAAGGTGAGATAGGATTCCAGTGATAAGTTAATTTACATTAATTAACAGATATTATAGGATTTCAGAGATAAAAGGGAGATTTGGACAGACACAAAGCCATAGATGTATCAGCTATAAGTCTTATCTTGGATTTGTGGGTCTGTGAGCTTACGAGTAGCAGTAGAATGTGCACATTTGCTCTATGGGAATGGCTTTGGTTCGTTCAGTTAGCATATTTATTCAAGAATTCATCCCACCAATTCCTTTAAATTGTAGTTACCACACATGATGGAAAACTAACAAAAACTAGAGTTTCTCTCATTTCAAAGAGGAAAAGAACACAGCACAAAATAAAAGACGAATGGTCATTGTTCATCCAACTTGAAGATGCTTTGTTGTGGGTACTCACAGTGATTTCTTCCCTGTAAAAGACAGAAGAAACCCAATCAGTCAGAATAAATCACACTGATAGATCTGAAAACTGCTTAATGTGTTTTTATTCCCAGGGCTTCCATTTTCGCTCAACACAGGTTAAGTATCCCTTATCTGAAATGCTTAGGACCAGAAGTGTTTTTGATTGTTTTCGGTTTTTGGAATACATGTACAGCATAGAGGGCCATGGGTGACACAATGGGTTAAACCCTTGTGCTGTTGAACTGTTGACCTGAAGGCTGGCATTTCCAATCTGAAGGACAAGGTGAGCTCCCGCTGTTAGCCCTAGCTCCTGCCGACGAAGCAGTTCGAAAACATGCAAATGTGAGTAGACCAATAGTTACCGCCTTGCTACGAAAGGCAAAAAGATGCTCTATGTAGGCATGCTGGCCACACAATCAGGCTCCTCGGCTTGGAAATGGAAATGAGCACCTCTTCTAGAGCCGGAGATGAGCACCGCCTCCAGAGCTGGAAATGAAGGCCTTTGCCTTTGTCTGTGTATTTGTGTGTCATTGTATTTCATTGTAGCAAGGCATTGAATGTTTGTCTGTGTCTGTTTATATGCTGTGATCTGCTCTGAGTCCACTTGGGGAGGACAAAATAACAATAAAAATGGGTTGTTGTAGTTTTTTTCGGGCTATATGGCAATGTTCTAGACTAGAGGCATTCTCTCCTGACGTTTTACCTGCATCTGCATCAGGAGAGAATGCCTCTAGAACAATTATTCTCAACCTGTGGGTCCCGAGGTGTTTTGGCCTACAACTCCAGAAATTACCAGCTATTAGGATTTCTGGGAGTTGAAGGCCAAAACATCTGGGGACCCACAGGGTGAGAACCACTACTCTAGAACATGGCCATATAGCCCGAAAACCCCCCACAACAACCCAGGGATTCCGGTCATGAAAGCTTTTGACAACACAAAAATAAAAATATTACTACTACTACTACTACTATTTGTATATACTGTACAAATACATAATGTGATATCTTTGAGACAGGGCCCAAGTCTAAACCCAATATTAATTCCTGCTTCATATGGGCTTTGTACACATAGCATGAAGGTAAGGCCATACAATACTTTGTACATGACACAAAGGGTGCATATACTAAACCATTAGAAAGCCAAGGTGTAACTGTCTCAGACATTTGCAAACAATTTTGGATTTTAGAATATTTTTGAATTCCAGATAAAAATGCTCAAAAGGATCACTCATTCCTCAAGAAATTTCAATTTCCTTAGTCCTCCTCCTAACTCAAGAGGCACAAACTACCTTCCAGAAACATATAAAATTCTGAATCTATATCAATGTGTTGTTGAAGGCTTTCATGGCTGAAATGGGGAGAGGCAGATGAGCTCCCTCTATCAGCTCCAGCTCCTCATGCGGGGACATGAGAGAAGCCTCCCACAAGGATGATAAAAAAACATCAAATCATCCGGGCGTCCCCTGGGCGACATCCTTGCAGATGGCCAATTCTCTCACACCAGAAGCGACTTGCAGTTTCTCAAGTCGCTCCTGACACGACAAAATAAATAAATAAATAAATAATGGCTGAAATAATTGGGTTGCTGTAAGTTTTCCGGGCTGTATGGACATGTTCCAAAAGCATTCTCTCCTGATATTTTGCCCACATCTATAGCAGGCATCCTCAGAGGTTGTGAGGTCTGTTGGAAACTAGGCAAGTGGGGTTTATATATCTGTGGAATAATGTCTAGGGAGGGAGAAGGAACTCCTGTCTGCTTGAGGCAAGTGTGAATGTTGCAATTGGTCAGATTGATTAGTATTGAATAGCCCTGCAGCTTCAAAGACTATCTGCTTCCTGCTGGGGGAATCCTTTGTTGGGAGATGTTAGCTGGCCCTGATCGTTTCCAGTCTGGATTTCCCCTGTTTTTTGAGTGTTACTCTTTATTTACTGTCATGATTTTAGAGTTTTTAAACTATTGGTAGCCAGATTTTGTTCATTTTATGGTTTCCTGTTGAAATTGTCCATGCTTGTGGATTTCATTGGCTTCTCTGTGTAGTCTGACATAATGGTTGCTAGAGTGGCCCAGCATTTCTGTGTCCTCTTTACTATGCTGTGTTCAGGTTGGTTAATCAGGTGCTGACTTCTCTGGCTGAAATAATTTAACATGTGGGCAAAACGTCAGGAGAAAATGCTTCTGGAACATGGCCATATAGCCCGGAAAACTCACAGCAACCCAGTGAATCTATGTCAATTATCATACATGTGGAAGATTCTGAATGAGTTTCCATACTTCTACTCTCTGCAGTGCTGCTTATAAAGAAACCAGATATTTAGTAGCAAAACACCCACTCACCCCTACTATGATTAATAGTGATATTTTAAAATGTAGTTTTAATTGTATATTTATTGTATTTTAATATTTATGCTTTATGACACAAAATATTTGTTTTTTTTAATTTTGATATTCATATTATAGTTCATTGGCTCTGTTTTTAATCAATATTGTGACCTGTTTGTTGTGAGCCACCTTGGCTTGCTATATCAGAAAAAATAAAGCAAATTAAAAAAAGACTACTACTCACTCTTCAGACATTTTCAGAAATCAAACTTCAGATACACTGAGGAAGGAAAAATAATACATCATTAATATCTACGTGCACCCACTTACACACACACACACACACACACACATATACTGTTTCACTTTTCCTCAAAGATTAGACACATTCATTTCTAGCATGTTGATGTGTAATCAAATGGCAAACAAACACATAGAATCATAGAATTGGAAGAGACCTCATGGGCTATCCAGTCCAACCCTCTGCTAAGAAGCAGGAAAATTGTATTCAAAGCATCCCTGACAGATGGCCATCTAGTCTCTGTTTAAAAGCCTCCAAAGAAGGAGCCTCCACCACATTCCAGGGCAGAGAGTTCCACTGCTGAATGGTTCTCACATTTAGGAAGTTCTTCCTCATATTCAGGTGGAATCTCCTTTGCTATAGTTTGAAGCCATTGTTCCACATCCTACTCTCCAGGGCAGAATTTATTTATTTATTTATTGTGTCAGGAGCAATCAGACAGTTGTATTACATTTTTAACAAAACAAACAAACAAACAGATAAAACACAAAGTTTGCAAGCTTGGTAGTTGATTAAATGTCCTTTGACTAGTATCTGGCCACTTGGAGTGCCTCTGGTGTTGCCACAAGGAGGTCCTCCATTGTGCATGTAGCAGGGCTCAGGTTGCATTGCAGCAGGTGGTCTGTAGTTTGCTCTTCTCCACACTTGCATGTCGTGGATTCCACTTTGTAGCCCCATTTCTTAAGATTGGCTCTGCATCTCATGGTGCCAGAGCACAGTCTGTTCAGCGCCTTCCAAGTTTCCCAGTCTTCTGTGTGCCCAGGGGGTTTCAGCCATTGATTGAGGTTCTGGGTTTGAGCCTGCCACTTTTGGACTCTCGCTTGCTGGGGTGTTCCAGCTAGTGTCTCTGTAGATCTTAGAAAACTATTTCTTGATTTAAGTCATTGACGTGCTGGCTGATACCCAAATAAGGGATGAGCTGGAGATGTCACTGCCTTGGTCCTTTCACTTTTGGCTGCTACTTCCAGGGCAGAAGAAAACAAGTTGCTCCCTCCACCCTATGTTTTCCCCTCACATATTTATATATGGCTCTCATCATGTCTCCTCTCAGCCTTCTCTTCCTCAGGCTAAACATGCCCAGCTCTTTAAGCCACTCCTCATAGGGCTTGTTCTCAGGGGAAAACCAGATTGGATTACTGTAATGCACTCTACGTGGGGCTACCCTTGAAAATGGCCCGGAAATTTCAACTGGTCCAACAGGCGGCGGCCAGGTTGTTAACTGGTGCTCCTTACAGGGAGAGGTCAACCCTCCTGTTTAAGGAGCTCCACTGGCTGCCGTTCATTTTCCGGTCCCAATTCAAGGTGCAGGTGCTTACTTACAAAGCCCTAAACAGTTTGGGACCCACCTACCTGCGTGACCGCATCTCTGTGTACAAACCCACACGATCTCTTCGTTCATCTGGAGAGGCCCTACTCACGATCCCACCTCCATCGCAAGCACGATTGGTGGGGACGAGGGATAGGGCCTTCTTGGTGGTGACCCCTCGACTCTGGAACTCGCTCCCAAGGACATTAGGCATGCCCCAACTTTGGCAGTCTTTAAGAGGAGCCTGAAAACATGATTGTTCCAGTGTGCCTTCCCAGAATAAGGAAACCCAAGCAACATGTCCCTAATCGCACTTTACTAATGATCTAGGATTGTCTGCTCACTCCATCTCTCTCCAAATACCTATCCTAGTTATATGTCACCTTGTCATGCCCAGCATTTTTAAAATTTTAATTATTACAATTGGCCTGCCATGGCTTTTTAATGCGTTGTGGTGTTATTGTTACTGTTTATTGCTTTGTTTATGAGTTTATTTATTGTCTGTATTGTTGTTGTTGCTTTTTTACTGATGTATTTGGGCTTGACCTCTTGTAAGCCGCACCGAGTCCTTCGGGAGATGGTAGCGGGGTATAAATAAAGGATTATTATTATTATTATTATTATTTACCTTTACCTTGTAAAATACAAGCAAACTACTCTAATACATGGCAGAAAGAGCTTGTAACTCGATAGATAGATAGATAGATAGATAGATAGATAGATAGATAGATAGATAGATAGATAGACAGACAGACAGACAGATATTCGAGTTGTGTTGGGTTGAATCTGTGGAGGCAGAACCCATGGATACAGAGAACCGGCTCTGCTTAATGTATGGAGCCCAGCGGGGCTGAATTACCCTATATTTTAAAATGCACAAAATGCAGCAGACAAAACACAGAAACAGAGATATGCATATATAAGCTTTCCCCTCCGGTAATCAATAATCATAATTATATCCCCTCAAAAAGATCAGACAGAAAATAGTCTTCATTTTAGTGTGTGAGGGGTTGAGTAGGTAAATGTGGTTTCATCTTGTTTTGCTTTGTCCCCTCCGCTGACCAAAATAAAAGCCAAGCAATCATTTTGAGTTGTTCCCAGGATCAACGGTTATCTTGCAGCAGCTCTTCAGAGGAGCTAAATTTATGCTGCCTTATCGTTTCTAAAATGGGGCCTGCGCCATTCCTCGGGGAGGCCACGGAAATGGAGGCAGGTGGGAAGGAAGGAGCCCTTTCAGCCATTCCTGCCTTGCTCTCATTCACCTTTCAGAAGAAGCCAAACAGAGGGATTCTTCCTCAGCCAATGTGCAGAAATGCAACTATTTTTAACACAATTAGGGGCTGCATTTCCCAAACCCTGTAGAGATTATTAATATAAATGCTTTCAAAGAAATGATTTCCTCAGGCTCAAATTATAGGAAGGGGCTGGAGAGGGGGAAGGAAGAGACATTTCATAGTCTCGAGGCGAAAATACAGAGGCGGCCGCCTTTCTTCCCTTCCTCGCCTCTTAAAGCTGTGAAGGGACGGCTTTATTCTTAGCGTGAGGTGTGAAACCGATCCTTCAGCACCATTTCTGGAGACATCTGCTGCCAAGAAGAGGCAGAAATACGGCAAGAGGAGTTGTTGGTGGACCTGCTTTTGGGCTTCCTCAAAGAGATCAAGGCCCCTTCCACACAGCTGAATAAAATCCCACATTGAACTGGAATATATGGCAGTGTGGACTCTGAAAAACCAGTTCAAAGCAGATATTGTGGGGTATTCTGCCTTGATATTCTGGGTTATATGGCTGTGTGGAAGGGCTCCAAGTTTCATGCAAGGGGAAGGGCAAGAGAGAGTCACTCAACAGAATCTTTTTCCCTTCCAAGAGAAATGGGTTTACAACACTCAAGTGGGTCATTGATAGGAATTGTAAGAAAAACATTCCAAAATATTTGGAAAAACCGTCAAATCTTGTTTCTCAAGTATCAAGAAATCGCGAGGATTTGGACTGATGCACATTTTCACACTCTTCAGACTCATTCTGTGCAAAAATTCTCATTTATTTTTCATGTAAACAGCAGAAAATAGTATTTCTATCTCTTCCGGGAGGTTTGCCTAGTAGTCCATTTTAAACTATGGCTTTTAATGTGTTGTCGAAGGCTTTCATGGCCAGAATCACTGTGCTTCTGTGAGTTTTCTGGGATGTACGGCCATGTCCCAGAAGCATTCTCTCCTGATGTTTCACCCACATCTGTGTATCTATGGTAGGCATCCTCACAGGTTGTGAAGTCTTTTGGAAACTAGAAAAGTGAGGTTTATATATCTGTGGAATGAGGTCCGGGGACGGGGGGGAGGGGGGGGAAGGGACTCTTGTCTGCTGAAGACAAGTGTGAGTGCTGCAATTGGCCAGCTTGATTAGCATTGAAGGGACCTACAGCATCAAAGACTGGCTGGTTGCTGTCTGGGGGAATCCTTTGTTGGGATCTAACAAATAGCATGTCAGATTACACAGAGGAGCCATTGAAATCCACAAGCATGTGGACAATTTTAACAGAAGAAAACCATGAAAATGTACAAAATCTGGCAACCAGTATTAAAAAATTCTAATATCGGGACAGTAAATAAAGGGGAATACACGAATAACAGGGGAATTCCTGACAGGAAACAATCAGGACTAGCTAACACCTCCCAACAAAGGATCCTCCAGGCAGCAACCAGCCCAGTTTTGAAGCTGCAAGGCCGTTCAGTGCTAATCAAGGTGGACAATGGCAAAATTTATACCTGCCTCAAACAGACAAGAGATCTTTCTATCACCCTGGGCATTCCACATCTATGGCAGGGTGGGAGAAAGAACTCTTGTGTTTTTGAGGTAAGTGCGAATTGTAATATCCGCACTTGCCTCAAACAGACAAGAGTTCTTTCTCCCACCCTCGACATTCCACAGATATATAAGCAGTCATGTAGCTGCTAAAAAAGCCAATGGAATTTTGGCCCGAAGAATAGGAGCATAGTGTCTAGATCCAGGGAAATCACACTCCCCCTCTATTCTGTCTTGGTCAGACCACACCTGGAATACTGTGTCCAGTTCTGGGCACTGTAATTGTAGGAAGATGTTGACAAACTGGAGTGTGTCCAGAGGAGGGAGACTAAAATGATCAAGGGACTGGAAAACAAGCCCTATGAGGAGTGGCTTAAAGAGCTGGACATGTTTAGCCTGAAGAAGAGAAGGCTGAGAGGAGTCATTATGAGGGCCATGTATAAATATGTGAGGGGAAATCATAGAAAGGAGGGAGCAACCTTGTTTCTGCTGCCTTGGAGACTAGGACGCTGAACAATGGTTTCAAATTACAGGAAAGGAGATTCCACCTGAATATTAGGAAGAACTTTGTAACTGTGAGAGCTGTTCAGCAGTGGAACTCTCTGTCCCGGAGTGTGGTGGAGGTGCCTTCTTTGGAGGCTTTTAAACAGAGGCTAGATGGCCATCTGTCGGGGGTGCTTTGAATGCGATTTCCCTTCTTCTTGGCAGAATGGGGTTGGACTAGAATGCCCACGATGTCTCTTCCAACTCTATGATTCTACTTTTTAAAAGTATTATAATAGCATAAGTGTAAGGGCTAAAATGAAATAACGGCTCTTATGAATATAGTCTGAATACAATCACTTTTTATCC